CTTTTTACGGCTTGACATGTTTCAAAATGTATTAAACAATATATTGTAGGCACAACGCTAGGAGTGAGCATACACACTTAGTGGGTGACAACTGGAAGGAGTAGCACTTATTCTTTATAGACATTTCTCATGCTCGACCCTTTCGCTGTCCTTCTGGTCTTGTAAGCTGATTCATAAAGTGGCCTGTAAAAGAGGAAAAAATGCTACTCATGCAGCAATAACTGATGTCAAAAATCAGAGCTGAGAGAAGCTTTCTTAAACAACAGATTTCGTAGAAATAGCGGGAAGCTTTCTTCATAAATGCACACAAGTACGGAAGCATCTGATTCCCATGTGAGATTGTCAAGTACTCAGAGAATGAGATGTGCCACAAGGCATATAAAAAGAAGTAAGTGAAGCAAGTCGTGATAAATAGGGGAGATGATAGAGGCATTCAGAGATAGCCACTATGCAGAAGTCTAGTCACTCTGGTTGGATTTAGGGTGAAATCCACCGAAAATTCCTCTGCAATTAAATGGACCTTACCTATTAAGTCCTCATTTTCATTTCACCCAAGCAGCCTTCACTCCCTTTATGAGGACTTTGAATTTAACCCAAAGAAAAACTGGATTACAGATTTGCTCAAGCTAATAAGGAAGTATGAATACTTCTGGAATAGTTGTATTTAGTGTTGTCTGGATCGTATTTTAACAGTCCTATCAGAGTGATGAGGAGGCCTTGTCAACATCCTCCGCCATATTAATCATTGTAATGCTTAACATCGTACTATTGACTTGGTACATTTTCATAAGTTTCGCCGTCATTGTTAGTGAGAGGCAATACCCATAGAACCTAGGTAAAAGTCGGCAGTGACAGGTGAAGGCCACCCTTTTGAACAATTTCCTGTTCAAATATATATGCTGGAATAACGGTGTAAGATAACTGGTTACTGCCATGATTTGTCACCGACGAGTTGTAATCCGGTGCTAAGGATGACGTCCATTGACGACGATGCCGACAAACAACTTGGAAAGTATCTTGCAACGGCCCGATGGCTTAAGGTATCGTGGCATCAATGGAAGAGAGTGCAAGAATGAGTGTGATCTGCAAGGCCCTTCCCTCATAATGACTAAGTTTCAAAAACGAGGTCAAAACAATACGTGGCATCTAAAGTAGGCCGTGACTAAACTTAGGGCAACACTACTATGATCCTTACATTTATTTAAAGGTATAAAGACCAAGATGGTGTGGCCTTTAGTGTGGTCGCAGTCTCCTTTCGTTGTATAAAAGTTGTTTGACCTCGTTTTCGCAACTTGGTCATATTGGAAGGAAGACTTAGAGGAACGCCCTAAAACCAGAGTTCATTGTATGCATTATCCTTTCCAGAGTAGGACCGTGGACGTGGTACATTCACAGACGCTTCGCCGGCATTGTCAGTGTGTCTCGCCATTCGTAGTACCATATTACGACTCGTCAAAGAGACCAAACGTATGCTAAACAGTTGTGGTATCTCCCCTTGTGCCCTGGGCTATTCACACTTCCTTTATCGTCTTATCATGTCACAATTTTTACCAGGCTTATTTTTTAATGTACTGTGGTGTGCTCTTTCGAGCGGCATTCATGAGAACCCTTCACACTCCACGCTGTCGTTATCACCCCATTCACCCTTGTGCTGGGAATGTTGATCAGTCTGTCATATTGTTACGTAGTCCTTCCCTGGGTCCTATCAGTCTTCCTCTTGCCCCGTAAAATCCGTCTGCTATCCCCCTGGTACATGTATTTCACTCGACCCCTGCCCCACCCCCATCTGTGCTACTCGAGGCGTAATTCGTCCATCCCCTGCACCTGGGTGATTGATTAGAGGCTAAAGCCTCAGAGTAAGTCTCATAGTCACTCAGGCCTTTTTTACATGGACCATGCCTCTTGTAAAACCTACTGTCAGCCAACTAGCTTCAAACTCTTTGACGAGTTCTAATGCGGTGCTACGAATGGCGAGACTCACTGACGGTGCCGGCGAAACGTCTGGGAATGTACCATGTCCACGGTCCTACTCTGGAAATGATGATGCATACAACAGACTCCAGACTAGGTGCATTCCTCTAAGTCTTCATATCGACGAGTTGCGAAAACAAGGTCAAACAACTTCCTTACATTTATTGTTGGGCTAAGCCAAAGCTGGTAAGCTGAGGTCTTCATCGCACAATCCAACAACGACAAGTCGAAAAACACCCTCGTGTAGTATTCGGTGGGGCTAATTTGCAAACGCCTTCCACCCGCATTTTCAAATGTAATCAAGTGTATGCAGCATCAATCTACTAGGAGGTTCTCCGAAACCCAGCTTTTTTTCAATCTGACAATTCTACTCTTTTTATTGTATGAATGGATTTCGTATTGCGTCCTCTGCTAGTGGCCGTATTTATGAACCTTGAATTTTTAATCAAAGGGTTAAGGTAATCTTTTCATGATGAGCCCATATTGAATCCGTCTGGTAAAAGGCTAAAATAGCTAAGACTAAAAGCTATATGTAGGTAAAACTTCAAAGGACACGATGAACAGAGGGTTGTCATGCTGAAAACTTAAAATAACGCAGATTTCTTCCATTGGGTGGCTCTGCTTTTTTCGCACCTTAATCATAGCTTGAGATTATTACGAGTTGGTTTTAAAATAACAATGCCCTCCATTCAAAAGCTTTGTTCTTTTTTGAAGCTTCAAATGACACTTTTATGTTAAACCTAAATAAGGATTTAACATTTTTAGTAAAACCGGTAAGGAAGTAAGTGACCATATGAAGGATAAATTGGGTTCTCACAACCGATAAATCTTATCAGTCCACTTTTATTTTCTTCAATAAATGACATTTTATGAACTAAATATAATGATGCACCAAAAGGAATCGAAAAATCTGAAAAAAGAGGAAGAATCCCAATCTTGTTTCGAAAAGGTTTTTATAAAGAAAGATTTATTAATTAGCTTCCCATTAACATAATTCAATAGCCAATATAGGTCATTTTCGAAAACTAAATGTCGCAAAACAATTGAGATCTTTAAGAGCTCTTTTATGCCATGTTCCCCAAGATTTTGCATTTAGGTGATACTCCTGCATCGAACCATTCGATGTCTGTAATTCACCGACATCCTGGTCGGCATTATTAATAAGGAACATGTCAAAGTTCACGTTACAGCTAGTAAAATAGTAAAGCTATTCCCACTGCCTAAAACTTTACTAAATTATTATTAAACACCAATACTCATATCAATATGTCCTCCTTCCTACGTCTTAGCGCAGAGCCTCATTGCATATAGCAAAGATCCCTCTTCACCTAAGTACGTGCACTCATTTACACTGCTAAAGCACACGCACCAAACTAGTTTATATATCTGGTTTCTGATAGCTTCGACTAGCCAGTAACTAATACTGCCATAAAAGAGAAACAAGTTCAAAAAGGATGGTGGTCTACATTCCTAGAATCCAGAAGACCCATGAAACAGAATCATTCTCGCTTATTAAGAATAGGAACGTAATTAAAAGAAAATGGCGATGCTCTATTTAAGTATACTTAGCTTAAAAAAGCCTTGCTGGTTTTTAGAATCATTCTATTTACATGAAAACCAGACGCACATTGAACAAATTGCATATCTATAAATGCATACATTGAACTTGAGGGCTAACTTTCACGAAAATTAGCAGTGTCCAAGAAGTTTATTCCAAAAGCGTTTAAAATAAATTCCGCTACAATATAGCTAAATAAAGGTTCCAACTCAGACCTTCCACATACAGTTTAGAGAGTAAAATGTGTGAAACTAAAATGCGAATGGATATGAAGCCATCTATGTAAACGATCAGAACTCAAAGTCATATGTCCCAAACGTCAAATGCTGCTCGAAAACGGACTATTTGCTAAAATCAAACACATTCTCTTTCTCACTCAAAATATGAGTAATGAAAACCAATAGGAAATTAAAAGGAAAACATGCGAATCTGGAAAGAAATATCTTACTTGAGTCAGTCATTGACATATAACAGGGGTGTTATAAATAAATTAAAGCATAAGAAATATGACCAAAGAACGAGTTCATTTGTCACCCACCTTTCAGAAAAATGAATAAAGATAAAAGAATAAACAGAGTGATCTGCATGATATCAACCTCTGACTCGGGAAAAGAATGGCTATGCTTTGGAAATAAAGAATATAAAAAAACTTCCATTAAACTGCTTGGAGGACTAGATAAATGTTGAAACGAATGATAAAGAAGGTAAGAACAGATTTGTTAGCATTATTCAGAGTATAAAACGAAGAGTTATGTTAACATATTGGCCAGAAAATAGATGTTCATGTTATTTGAGATGAGGAAAGAGGATATTAAAAAAGATAAGCTTCAAAAAGTATTATCAATAGATTCCGTTTTAGCAAACTATATCTGCTTTCGAATCTCATGCATAGGTGAGGCCCGAAGCTTTATTTGTAATTAAGAAGTTGTAAGCAAGAGATCTCATCAGATGGACGGAAGAAGAATTGGCTCGGAATTCGTCAATTAGTAACGATTGCAGAAACAATAGACACTAAGGGATGTATATGAGATAGACATAAAACTAAGCTTGAGCCAAGATTTGATAGCAAAATTATTTGATTCTATTTCGGATATGAGAAGAAATGTGGTAAGACATGAAGAAGTGAAGCGAGTAGCAGACCAAATTTAATCATATATGATAGTGTCGAATCTCAGTGAATATATTTGTAAATTTTTGATTGATAGTTTTAGTTGCCGAGTATGATATTGTGTAGAACGAAAAAAGAGTTTGAATAAAGTAATTAATGTATACATATATGTATATATATGAGGATTGGCAAGAACCTTGAAATAGAAAGTTATATTATAGATTGCCTCTCAATAAGGATAGGTGAAAATGGGATAAGCCCAAATCCAGACACAAGTTTTTCAGTGCTTTATAATATTCTGCAGAGGATATGACGTGTGCCAACTGATCTGAATTGACGCTATTTGAGGGTTTCCAATAAATTTTACATACTCGGCTCGTAATCAGCCAGGTCAATTGGCGAGGCACCTCCAAGAGAGGCAGAAGCAGAAGCCGATGAGGCTGCGTATATTAGACGCGAAGCGGCCACGGAAACAGGCGTAATTATGTCACCACCAGAAACTGTACTGGCGGAGAATGCTGTTTGGCCCTGCTGGGCGGCCGCACTGGTTATATTTCCACTGGCACTACTGCAACCCAAAGGTGATGATGAGTGCCCGCCAGGGCTGGCGAGAAAACATATTGATCGTGGAGGGCTACTGTGGCCAGTGGCCTGGGCAAAAGTATGCGGCCCATGGCTAGGCTGGGTTGGCAGCTGACGTACAGTTGCTGGTGATGGTGCTGGTGCTGGTGCTGGAGGAGACGGCGAGGGACATGGGGAGGCGGAGGAAGCTGATGATGTTGCCGGCGATGGAGACGGCGAAAGAGTCACACCAATTGACTCACTAGCAAAAGAGGTAGAGGTGGTACTAGTCGGAAAAGGAGCAAGGTTGGTCGTGGGAGCATTACACACAGTGGAGGGAGCAGTCGTGGCAAGAGAGGCAGTGGCAGCTGGAAGAAGATTACTAACAACGACGATGCTCTGGCAGCTACTTGCATGTCCCAGAGAGCTACGCCGGCTGGAGCCACCACCGTCAGTACTACGAGCGCTATTGAACTGGCCGCTACTACAACAGGAAGAGCTGGAGCCTAGAGTAAAGCAATCTGAATGACCTGATGAAGTGAAGAAAGTAAGAGCAATGTTTCAAATAGAAAATCCAGTGTTTATGAATACTATTACTCATGATGACTGATGCTTCAATGTGAAACCAACAAATAAGAGTAGTTGCCAAGTGCGCTTTTAGGCAAGCTTTGAACGTTAATTAGATAGACAGCAAACTCCTCGAATACAAACCCAATGTGGAATCATTTCCATCTGTTCATAAGCAAATTAGTATAAAATTCTTTGGACTTAGTTGCGAAAGAAGATTAAGCATAAGGTCACAAATCATTTCTACATCTCTAAAAAAATATATTGGTCAATTGATAAAAGGAATACAGGTGAATTCTCCAAAAATAAAACCGAAATACAAATCATATGAAACTTATTAGGTTCCTTAGATAAAATTTCGGGTGGCAAATGGTAACTTCCATATAACTGCACCTTATTCACTTCTCTAAGCTTATTTGCTTAATAATTAAAATTATCAATAATGAAAATAACAATGATATCAATGAATATTGTCTGATAAAATATGTTCAAAAATAGATTGATAGTTAAAACCATAATAATACAAATATTGGAGGTTAAATGAATGGAAAGCTCAACATCATAGCAAATCTTTACTGTGCCATATATAAGGTAAAGCAAGATTTTGAGGAGTCTCTTATTACTCGTATTAGAGTAGGGTTTCGAGACTACCAGTAAATCAGTGTAATGAGATGTATTCACCCTAT